AAAAAAAAACTGGGATAGTTGGGTGCCAGTAGCTCATGCCTCTAATCCTAGCTACTCAGAAGGCTGAGAACTACTGCAGTTTGAAGCCAGCCCAGGAAGGAAAGACCATGAAACTCTTATCTCCAATTAAATCCCAAAAAGCTGGAAGCGGAGCTGTGGCTCAAGTAGTACAGCACTAGCCTTAACTAAAAAAGCTAAGGGAGAACATCTAGGCCTTGAATTCAAGCTCTAGGACTGGAGTGAGTGAGTGAGTGATTGTGTGTGTGTATGTGTGTGTGTGTTAGAGATAAAGATCTCAGGAAGAAAGGGACCAATAAAATTTTAGCTTACAACACACCATTTGTTGAGATGCTTACAGAATTAACAGGTACAAATTACGAACAGATTAGGAATGGTACTCAGAAGCTCTAATCAGAGTTGGGAGCTATACAATAATACAGATAGAATTAGGAAAATATCAAGAAAAGACATATAAATAAAAGATCAGAGAAACTTAAAGCACAAATATTTAAGGGAAAAACAAAGATCAGGTAAACCAAGAGAATTTCCTCACACAAATTTTACAAATAGCAATCAATGTACTTATAAGTAGCAATGCACAAGCTGAGTGTGTATATGTATATAAAACATACATTATGTATAGCATACATATGCATATATAAATATATACATATTTATACTTGCATGTATTACATACATATTTACAGATGAATATGTATTGCATTAAATACATTCATATTATATAAATATGTATATATATGCTTATGGCTAACATACAATCTGAATTTCTTGGGACTCATCTGATTTAAAATATTCTTTCCTATTGTCTCCCATAAATCTGTAGCATAGTGTTCCCATTAACACTTCCAAACCTCCTACATTCTTTTGGATCTATATGTGCCATGTTTAGTTTCACTTCTAAAATGGAACAATATATCAGTAATAGCTATTTTGTAGGGTTAAAAATCTAATGAGTTCTAGCAAGTCTACTATTCATCCATAAAAATGATGCCATACTAAAATTTGATCACAGGGTTCTCGTGACCATCCATTCTAAATCTTTTCTAAAATTAACTTCAAATAATCTGTGCACATTTCATTTCACAAGATTGTATGCAGATTTCCAGTCATCTCTAACATTCTTTGTATTATGAACCAATCAGTGGCACTAAGTGCTTATACCATAAGTACCAGGAAAAATCCTGTACTATTGCTAATCATTCTGTACTTAAACATTAATCTTTTATATTCTGTTTTCTGTGCCTACAGAACTTCCCTTTAAAAGCAACTCTAAAATCCAAACATTTTGTCTAAAATCAAACATCTGCCAGGTGAAAAGTAGCTCATGCCTGTAATCTACATAGCTAAGGAGGCTGAGATCAGAGGATCAGGGTTTGAAGCCAGCAGATAAGTCTGAGATTTTAATCTCCAAATTGACACCAAAAAAAGCTAGATATGGAGCTGTAGCTCAAGTGGTAGAGCACTAGATTTGGGTAAAAAAATACTCAGGGACAGCACCTAGGCCTTGAGTTGAAATCCCAGGAGTAGCACAAAAAAATCAAATATATAAATAGTACACACATTTAAATGTTCCAAAACCCTATCATCAAGTTCACTGTATGACTGTCTAAATTATAATAGCTTTATAGTTCTCCTTTCAATTATAAGCATCATTAACTAAATCTCTAATTACTAAGGTCATTTCATAAAAACATTTTTCAAGTACTCCAAAACTATAAATTTTCATGATTAGTTGTCCACTTCTCAACCTATTCATAATAAGACTTTCTCAATATTAAACTTTTGCTTCTTTATTCCTGTAAGTTTAGTCATCCCTCACTATATAGCGTTCACTTCAATGAATCATAGTTCAAAAAAATACACAAATAGTAATGATACCTCTACCTATTATATGAGTTACGTTCCAGAGACGCCTGAGATAGGTGAAAATCTGCAAAGCAGCAGCATTATATAGTTGTCCCTTGATATATCACAGTTCACTTATTACTACTTTGCAGATGAGTGATTGCCTAGCATGCATGAAGGCCTGGGTTTTTCAGTACCACATACACACAGAAAAAGCTGAAGTGGCATTGTGGCTCAAGTGGTAGAGCAATAGCCTTGAGAAAAGAAGTTTAGGACAGTGCCCAGGCAGAAGAAAAAAAAAACTAAAAAATCCTGTTCCATTGAACACATTGACTTTGAGAACCTGAAGCCCTACTATGTAATGAAACAAAATTTAACTTTATTACAAAAATATTTCAAATAAAATTTGGATTACATTTTTTTCTCTAAGGACAAATAAGACATAAACTTGGAAACTAATGTCTTAGTCTGTTTCCTCATAGTTTTTACTATTCTCTAAATCATCTTCCAACTCTTGACAATTTATAATTGTCTTTATTCACTCAATACATCATGTATTCCACAAAAAACATGTTAGCAATTTCTCAGAACTCATGAATTATACAGTTTTAAATCTGTGATTATCCATACACCAAAGGAAAATGAGTTAAGTGTGAAATTTTCCTATCAAAACAAAGTTCAAATAAGCAAAACTTACATTGGGAGTAAGTAGACAATGATAAAGAAGTGGAAAGCTTGGTAGGATGGTAGAAATGAGCACAGAACTGAGTCAAGGACCTATTTCTAGTGACATTTCTGCCAAAAGCTGTTATTAGGCAAACTGCAAACTGTGGTCTCATTAGTAAGCTGAAAACCATTAAACTAAACTAATCTTGATGATCCTTACCAAATTAAATTGATTTTACAGTGTCCTTAGATTTAAAAGTTTACAGTTAAGTTTCAAAAGACCTAGGATTTCAAGGCTTTTCAGTCTCTTGTTTGAGTAGATTCATTTCGGGTTCTCTATGGTTACCCATTCATACCATCAGCATAGACTGACTTACCAACATAAACTAGATAAAAATTTTACTCAAATAATGTTTAAAGATCCAAGAAAACACTAAGGCTGTATCTGGATCTGAATAAAACTTTTTCTAAAACACTAGATCACATTAATACACAATAGTTAGGATTACAGTCCTGTGAATTCCCAACTATGTAGAAGTGAATTTATCAATTTTAAGATTGTTAGCAAAATTTTATCCATGCTGGCTTCAATTACCCAGGATACTGAACCACCACCTTCTACCATTAGCAAAAACTTTAATATTAGCCATGTAAAACACAATCCCAAAAATCTACAAAAACCATTATGTAATGTATCCTAAGTACAATGATAGAAACAGGTTAACATTTTGAGAAAACAATGAGTAGATCTCCAGAGTGAACAGGATTTTTGTTTAAGTTTTTAAGACAGGTGTCACCATGTATCCCAGGATGGCCTAGTACTTGGCACTATCACTCTATTCCTTGAATGCTAGAATTACAGTATACACCACTACAGTAGGCTCAGAATGTTATTTTTATATATCTAAGCTTTCTACTACAGAACTATGACCTTCAAGGATAATCCAATTTAAAGTTACTGAGAGCACAGACCCTAATAAAAAAGAATTTTAAATGTACCCATTTTGACTTGGATACATTTGACCTACATGTTTTACAACCATATATTTAAGCCATTATACACATTTTTATTATTTATTTGTAAAACTTTTTATATAAACACAGCAACATCCAATTTTCTGATACAGTAAATATTTCATTATCACTACGATAGAACATCCTTAAAAAATAACAGCAAATTCTACTGATTATGTGTGCTGGTCCTGGGAATTAAACTCAGGGCTTGGGCACGGTTCCTGAAGGGTTTTTATTGGATCAAGGCTAGCACTGTACCAATTGAGCTTCAGCTTCAATTCTAGCTTTCTGATAGTTAATTGAAGAATCTTGTCGACATTCCTACCACAACTGGATTTCATCTACAATCCCTACATCTCAATCTCTTGAGTAGCTAGGATTACAGGCGTGCAACACTGGTACCCAGACAATTACACACTATTTGATTTAGACTTTTCTATTCTTTAAAGCTTTGACATTAGTCAAGGTTATTTTGTCACATTCTGTTTATATTTTAGAATTAAAAAAGTGTAGATATCCACTCTTTCAAGATGAAAGTAATTTCTCTGAGTATAATGTGTCAACAAATTTTGGTCATCATTTTACTATTAAACAATTAGTAAGCTCTTTTACTTCATCGTTGTTTGGGAAAAAAATTTGGTTCTCTGAATCATGAAGCTAAAGTTGCTCTCATGCAAAAATAATGTTACTGTTTTATACCCTAAAGAATATCAAACTTCATTTATAATTGTCGACATTTTCCTACATTTTTTAGACAGTCTGGCTATGTAGCCCAAGCTGTCTTTGAACTCATGATCCTCCTGCTTCAGCCTCTCAAGAGCTAGAATTACGGGTGTATATCATCATACCTTGCTCATTTCAAAAAGTACTTCCAAATCCATTTGAGATTCTAGGACAAAACAATGAAGGCTCACTACATATTAAAAGATTTAGGAAAATCTACATTCATGAACTTCAAATAAGATTTGGACCCAAATGCAAATTTATGCCATAAAATTGCCTATACAGCCGGGCGCTGGTGGCTCACGCCTGTAATCCTAGCTACTCAGGAAGCTGAGATCTGAGGATCGCGGTTCAAAGCCAGCCCAGGCAGGAGAGACCGTGAGACTCCTATCTCCAATAAACCACCAGAAAACCAGAAGTGGTGCTGTAGCTCAAGTGGTAGAGTGCTCGCCTTGAGCTGAAGA